ATTAACATAACAAAAAGAACGAGAGTAAAAATAAGAATACAATAAGATAAGAATACAAACATAAAAGAATATGAAAATAAGTATACATTTAAATAATTTGAAATGAATACAATGTTAATATTACGGCGCCCCTAAAATGTCATGAAAAAAAAAAGAGACAAAGTTAATTTCAAGTTACTTTCTTGAAAGTAACTTGAAAGTTACCGGTGTGTGTGTCTGTGTGTGCGTGTGTGTGTGTGTGTGTGTGTGTGTGTGTGTGTGTGTGTGTGTGTGTGTGTGTGTGTGTGTGTGTGTGTGTGTGTGTGTGTGTGTGTGTCCAACAGTACTATGCCTACTACAGACTCTCCATATCCTATGCTGGTTCTGACTGGTCCTCAGGGCTGTGGGAAGAGAGAGCTGGCTCACAGACTGTGTCAGGAGCTGAACGAATACTTTGCCCATGGGTCAGTTTCTGTACACATGTCACTTGTCATGCATTGTCACAGTACTTGCAGGGCTACTAAAATAAATCACAAAATATAGAAAAATAAACAGAAAATCCACATTACATAATCATTAAATGTTGAAATAATTTATCTGCTCTGTGTTTTTTTAAGAAACTAAATGGTGTTATGTACAGTTTTCTTAAAAGTATTAGTGGTATGAAAAAGAAAAACAACAATTGTATTGAGTCTGGTTAGCTCTTAAGCTGCACATATCTGCAAATGGTAGCAACGATTCTTACTGTAGTATAAGCAACCCTTTCAAGTGTCAATATGAAGAAAGGTTCATAACTTGTTGAAAAAGATAACATCTGCTCCTGAATATATGAAAGTAAAGGTCAGACATTGTGAAGATAATAATGTATACATATATATACATATATAGTAGTCCCAGGTGCCCAAACACTACCTATTAAATGTGGGGCCAAAACAGTACAGCAATATGGAAAATAACCTACATCCTAAAGTATGGACTGAAATGTTCCAGAAACCCAAGGGTCCTGTCCCAGCTCATTGGCCCCTTTACTGGTTATTTTAAGTAGTTGCAGACCTCGTCAATTCTAGGGCTAAATATGTTCTATGAAATCTCAAGACTGTTTCTGCACTGTGTGTTTTTCCACAGAACCAGTCACACCACTAGGGGGCCATACTTCGGGGAGGAGGATGGAATTGATTGCCATTTTGTCAGTGAGGCAGATTTTCAGAACATGATTCACATGGTGCGTTCATTGCATTCGTTGAGATTTTGTTTACACCACAGACCCTGGGAGTGACCAACTGAGAACAAAATACACGTTTTAAAATGATTCAGAACTTAAACTAATATTGTAGACTCAGTGTCATTATCATGCAAATCAATGAATACTCACCACAAGTTAATTAAATATGCACTAGGTTTTAAAACAATGTTTTATTGTTGTTGTGGTTGATTCAAGCCAATCACTGGCCAAAATCATTTGACTGGTTGAGATAAGTAATTTTCACTCGGATTGATTGAGTTCACTTTAATTGACTGATATTCAAATGACCACAGATGAATTGAGCCATTTTAATAAGGTGTAACGGCTGTATTAATGAAATATCTCTTAAAGGATGACTCATCTCCTGCAACATTTTCCATGCTATTATTTGTTAGTCTGAGTCAACTAATAAAGAATGTGTTTTTAATCAAAAAAATGCATTGGAAAAGTTCCATGAAAACATTGTTTTTATTAGAGGGTCAGCAACTGCCAGGGTCTGTTTTTATGTACATGCTTAGTTTGTATTTGTGTTAATCAACAGCTAGTAGAACTGATTAATCAGACCAGGGTAGGAGAAATATGTGCTGAGGTTTTGCGGCCTTGGACACATTTGTTCTCCATCTTGTCCCTCTTGTCTAGCTGTGTGTTATGTAAGAGTGTTGGGGGATGATAGATGGAGGTCTGGGTCATGTAATGATTTACACAGAGCTGCCTTTGAGGAATTGATTCCTTTTGTGCAGAGGAAGTGGACCAGGTTGTCTTTACAGTCTGCCTCTCCGTCTAGTTGGTTTTTCCATTCTTCTTTTTCTGTTGTCAGCTACTTGGTTTATAGCTGTCCTCCCTTTTTACACTACATGCTCTCACCTTTCATGTGTCAGCTGCTTTCTTCCTCTTTCACTTCTCCTCCCCTCACATGTGTTTTTGAAGTGCATGCAATCATAACCTCTTGACCCTGCCTCTTGCTGCTGTTCACAATTAACCCCAATCAGCACAGTCCCCTGTACTTATTTTACACTGACTTATGACGGAAACAGAAGGAACACCTGCTGTGTAATTGGTTCTGAACCGAATCCAACTCTGATAATATGGAATCATATGAAGCATGTTTGTTTGAGTGCTTTTCAATTACCTATTTAAGAAGGCCCATTACCCAAAACATTTTTGAAGGACCTTAATTCCTGTTTGACCTAGTATTTTCAGAAGACACATTGTGTATCTAGAGTATACATCATTGGTAAAAAGTCACTTAATTATAATGCGGTCAGTCACAGTAAAGGTGTTTTATACATGTTCTCATAATGTAGTGTCAGTCATACTGTATACTGCTTTAAAAGCGAAGGGGACAGAGTAAAACCTTTTTTTGTATATATATTATATATATGTTACAAAATAACGCCAAGTTAGGCTCGTGTTGCCATACAGTTCCCTACTACTGGTTCCACATATGGACATTTCATTGACAGGCCAGTTTTATTGTTGCTCTTATTGCTGAGGTTTCATATGTAGCAAACCCAAGTAATAGAGGAAAAAGAAAGCAATGGAAAACACTTTAAAAATTACATTTCTCCTAAAAGCTATTCCTTTTGTTTGGGAATAACAACAAAATTCCTTTACTTTTGATGCCACAAACCAAAGAACAAGAATGTCTTGCTTCAGGGATTTTAAGTGTTTTAAAATGTACTCTTCAAAGAAAAGTGCCTGGCTAAACATCAGACAACAGGTCAGGGGTCATGTGTGAGGAGTAACAAAGGGAGAGAGTTCGCCCTGACCACCAGGTCAAGCGTTCAGTTCACAGGTGGGCAAAGGACTAAAGGTTGTTAATCTTGATAGAACATGCTGGGATTGTGTTACTTTGTCAAAAAATATGTCCGCTTTAGAAGATAAAATAGCTTCCGGACTGTGGTAACCCTGATGAATAATGGGACAATAAAGCAGTGCACTAAAATGTTCTCTCCTTCTTTCTTTCCCCTTGTAACTGGTAGGGTAAGTTCATCCAGACCATGCAGTACGGAGGTCACAGCTACGGTCTGAGCAGAGAGGCCATAGAGGAAGTAGCCAGGGAGGGACTGGCCTGCTGTGTGCATATGGAGCTGGAGGTGCGTATGGAACATATTGAGTGAGAGTACATCAAGCCCCATATGTTGAAAATGTGTCTAAAGCCAGTAGATTGTCAGAGAGTGGATTAAAGATCTACCAGAGATATAGGAAGCATACAAAGTCTTACAGGTTTACAACACATGC